ATCTATCTATCTATCTATCTATCTATCTATCTATCTATCTGTCAATGACGTGAGAATAGTCGGCTGAATTCATCCTACCAGGACCTTACATTTATTGGGAAATTTCATGCAACGGTCCTCACTGAACCCAAAATAAAACAAATGCATCTACTCTGGCGATGCAAAAACTCTAAGAACTAAATAAATAAATAATTAAAAATGTAAATAAAGGCTAATCAAATTTTTGAAAGCCACCGCTTCTTGTTTTGCCGTTTTCATTTTTTATAAATTACAGGAACACATGTTAAAAACTAGTAGTACACAAAATGATTTTTTGTTAAATTTTCACTTCAAGTATTTGACTGGAGCTCTTTGGTTTGTTTTATATATTTATTGCAAGCACATATGAAACCGTAATCAAATGCAGGAAAAAAACTACTTACAATATAATTTAAATCAAATCAACAATTTATTCTTAATATACAAGTATAGATTTTGGCAAGCTTACAGCAAAGGTCTGACTGGATTCACTGTGTAATTCACACTATTTGCAAGGATTTTGTCCTTTTTGCTGGTAAATGTCCCAGAATCAGATTTTAAAAAGGCGCTCCACTAAGTGCTCACGCTTTGACATACTGTGCCTCGCAAAACTGGAATGTAAACTTGGTTTTGTAACCTTCATGGAATGCTGCATGTTCATTTATCTACATGAAACCCAAATTCAGAGTGGTCTTCTTCAACAGTGAAGCTTGAAACATTTCTTTATCCACACAATACTGTCATTGTGAAACAGAATAAGATGCTGAGTGATGCCCAAAGTCGCTGCTCACATGCTAAAGAGTGTGCTAGCTGAAAAAGGACAGACCAAAACAAATTTCTTGTTGGATCCATGAATTTCATAGTAAAAAAAAAAAAAAGGACACCGTGGGCTTCTGGAATGTCATCGGGAGCAATGTCGGTGTATCGCAACTCTCTAGGGGATGGAGTTGATACTCTGAGAGTATCAAGCTGCTTTTAGACACGAGAGCACAGCTAGGATTCTGATTTTACAAAGTCTGCATGAGTTGACATGTGTCTCTCCTACATTTAGACGTCAGTACAGGATTCACCACACAACGGCTCACTGTGCGTCCAAACCTGTTTGGTAGCTGCCGCAGAAAGTACAGTCGGAGTACAAAAAACACTGGATTTGGCACCATGGACGGACGGCACGCGCGCTGACCCAGGAGAGGAGCACGCGTCTGAAAAGCCACAGGCAGAAAAAGGACATGCACACATGTGCTGAAGCTTAAAGTGCCTCAGATCGCGTGTCATTGGCTCGTGGGTTCGCGTCGGCGTGCCTGTCCACAACACATTCAGAGTGCTATCACTAAAGTGTCACATAGATAATATCCTGGTGTCTCTACATGCTATCTACAAACTGGGTACAACTGAGAGAATGAACGCTTCTAAATCAAAAAGGCCGAGCAGAAGAGTGAACTCGTGACAGGGTGTCATTTAAACAGAGCCAATCCGCTCTCTGACTAGACAGAATCGAGCTTTTGTCCGACACTGTTTGCCAGTGTGTGTTTACATTGGCGGTTTTTAATAGGAGGCGCCTCCATAAAACATCTGGTGCTCCTCGGGTCACGAGGAGCTCGGCTCACGCTGATGTGTTTTTAAACTAAAGGGCATTAGATGCATTCAGAAGCTGGACAAAGCTGTTCTTAACCCATCAATTTGGCTCTAAATTACACCTTTTCCCCTTATAACCATGTTATAACCATCACATTGCCATGTTGTAACTATGTTATTAGAAGGGAATTGCCTCTGTAAGAGCTGATATGTTTGTTAATCCACTAGATATTTAAAAACTACTATTTAATACTGAGCAGTGATCTTGTAACATGACCTGAAATGAATCCATCCACCATTTTGGCTGTGAAATGTAAACAATGACAGAGTCTGCCGACACTCATCAGTAGTAGGATTAGCACATCATTCAGGCAGATGGTGCCATTCTGACATGAGTCTGACATGAGTTTCTTTAAGAGTGATCTGCGCCTAAAAGCAGCGCTGCTCTGTAACAATGAGAGCAAGCTGTGCTTTTAGTCCCTGCGTGCATAAAAAAAAGATGCACACAGAGTCTTCGATGCGTCCAGGTTCAGTTTGAGAATGGCCTTCTGCTCCTTGCGCTGAAAGACAAAAGCCTTCATGACCCTGATGGAGAGATGAGCTGGGAGCGGGAACTGAAGACACCTATTTACAAACTGGACTCCTTTCAGAGCTGGTCTTTCCCTCTAGAACACCCACGTGACGGGGACCCACTGTGGGTTCTTGGAGACGGTTTCCAGGGCAGCTTTGACCGTGCGGTAGGTCTCATCCAGGTTCTGGTTTACGATGCTCAGGTCAAAGTAGTGGCCGTAGGCTGCCTGGATCTTAGCGCTCTCGTCCATTGTCCTCTGCATTTCCTCGTCCTGCACAAAGAGAAAAGAGTTCCCATCTTAGCCGACGGCCGACACGGGGACTCATCTCCAGCATGTTTGTGGAGCTCTTGGTACCGTCAGAGTCTTTTCCATCACTCCTGCCTCCACGGCTGAGCGATTCATGGCCTTCAGGACCTCGAAGTCTGGAGACTGAAGGAACACCACGTAGGGCAGGAACTCAGACGTCCGCAGCACTTTTAGAGACTACAGCCGACACCAGAGAGAAACACACATCTGAACTTTCCAGAATAGCTGGCTTACAGAGCATGGAGAAGGTTTAGGCCACTCACAGGCGAGGTTTGTGGAAGGTTTACGGTTTGCTGACCATTTAAGGTCCCTCTTATGACCTTTGTCTTTTCTTAGAGGTGTCCAATGATTGCCTTGCTAAGAAAACATGCACTTTCTTACAAGCCGAGCACACAGAGGGGTCTTTGAGGGCATAAACTACAACAATAAGTGTAAAATATACATCTAAATGTGTTGGAAAAGAGTTCACTGAAAAAGGGTGAAGCTAAATCATTCAGCTTGTCGCTTTATAAGCAGGAAAAGCAGAGTTTGGAGGTTGATACGAGTGTTTATTACTACAAAAGATTCAACCAACTGTTTTACTTTTCTAAATGGTATTATATGATAACAGAGTGTCTCATATATTTAGGTAAATCAAGAAAATCAGCAGATACTCAGCATTGAGCATTGAACTACTTTTCTTCCTCTTACTTAAACTGCTTTTTTACATGAAAACTTTTTTTAAATTCTGGGCTACTCCACCCACCTAAAGATGCCTTAAAATGAGGGGAAAGTTAAGGCATGATTGGTTTGGATAAACAGGGAAGTTTGTATGTGTTTGCGTTATGTGAGTTCCTCCTCACTTCAAACAGGCTTTCTAAAAAGGAGCAGATCATGAGGGCTGCATGTGTACCTGCGGGTTGGCGTCCAGGATGCAGACGCGTCCCGCTTCTATCACCTCGTGTATGGAGTCCATCTTTAACCCGTACAGGCTGCCCTCATACTCTCCGTATTCCAGGTAGCGTCCGTTCTTGATGTCGGCCTCCATCTTGCTGCGGCTGGTGAAAGCGTACATCCGAGTCTCTCGCTCGTCTTTTTTAGGCTTTCTGGAGGTGTCTGGGCGGGTTAAAGAAACAGAGCCTCAGTGTCTCCTTACCAGTGCCCACTTTCAAACTATTCCAGACCGAGAAGCTTTGATTAAACAGAGTTATTCTGCTATTTTTAAGCTATTCAATTTCTTACACGGAATGGTGGTGCCAAAAAGCTGCGGATCCCTGAGCAGCAGCTTTGCTTTTAGGCGACGCCTCCCGACGCCCTGAGCACCAATTAAAATTAGAGTTTTCCTCTTGAAAGGCGGGACTTTGGCCACCTCTTCGTACAGTAATATCTCATGCCTGTCGAACTCTGTGAGAGAGGGAGAGGAGGATCCACAGATTTGTAAGTAAGGAGGGCAAGAGAGATGAAAAAAGAAAGACAAGAGTAAGAAAATAGAAGGACAGTTAACCACAAAGCTTCATGAGCTACCTGCGTTTTTAGTGGTCACGTACATCATCTTTTTCTTCTTCCTCCCTCCGACACCAGTGCAAAGATTGCCTTTAACATAAGAGAATGTAGGCGGGGAGGTGAGGCCTTCAGCTGCTCACACCCCACATCATCATCACATGTCTCTGCTTTATTTGCTGTTTGGATCTTATATTTGTGTGTTTTCATTTCAGATGGAGATTGATTCTGCCAGCCAAATCCAATGCAGTAAAAACAGATTTTCCTGTGACCACATGTTGGTGGATTATCCAGGAAACTAATGGACCATGACGACAGAAACCCAAATGTTAGTCCTTTACAGAAGCAGCATTTGGATTATGCACAACTTTAAATTTCCAGAGAAATGTAATAACCATTGGCAGGCCTGAGGTTTCACCACTAGGGGGCAGCGTGTGGCAGCGCTTTTAACTGCTTGTCTGGTTACCTGCAGGGGCCAGCTCCACATCCTTCTTGACAAAAGCTTTCCTCTTTTCCTCCAACATCTGACTGGGGATGAGGCCGGCGCTCCCCCCTTCGACATGAAGGGCCTGTTCAGAGAAATCATGCACACAGGGAATCTGTGTGTGTAAAAATGGCTTCACACAGACACACATGTTCCATGTCCTCGGGCTGCCTGTGTCACCTGCCACCAGTTGACGTCGTCCTGGTTGACTATCTGCAGGATGTCTCCCGTTTCAAACCTCAGCCCTGCTTGCCTACAGGGAATCAGGTTGTCGTTTGCCGGGTCGTAATCGTAGTGGCACTTGAAGTAAACCTGAAGGAGGACAAGAACGCGCGGCTTTACCTCGCTGAGCGCTGCAGCTTTCAGCGTGTTCACTACCCAGTCAGACTAAGGGCAGCTCTGTGTGTGTGCGTGCCACCTGTCGAGGTGGGATGGCCTCGTGGTAGCTGGGGAGGATCTTCAGGAACACGATTCCACTGGCCGCCTGCAGCTCCTCCTGTAAAACCCGGGGGTCGCGGCCCACCTCCCGCCCGTTCGCCTGCCAGCACAGAGGACACGCAGGAAGATGAGACATCACATGAAAAAACTAAATAATTGCACAAGAGCGTGATGACATGATGGTAATAAGGGTAATCAGCCCCCTGCTTGTGTCTAAGCAGCAGGCTAGAGTGTAGATCATTAAATGAAAACATTTCAGTTTCCCAGTAGGAGCAACACCATTTGAGCAAATGTTTTGTGTCACTTTTTCTCTCAAAATGGGAAAAATGCATTGCGAAACTAAAAATATGTGGAGGAACGCAGGACGTTTTAAACAGGGTGGAAGAGTTTCTATTCTTTTGCTGAACTAAATGGAAGCCATTCGGCCACTAAGTAACATGCATAGTCAAAGGAAAAATGAATTGTAAATGATTATAATTTTGTTTGAGGGCTGGGTTAAACTGAGTTTGTCTGTGTGAGACAGTGAACACAATGTTTCTGTTGAAAATGACTGTGGTCCTTTTGGTGTAGAAGTCTATTTCTGTCACTATTAGGTCAGTGTGTGACATTTACTATAGATCTGGCTGAGCAAAGGTGTGTGTGTCTGTGAGGAAGGGATAGGGTGATGATGGGGCTCTTTGTGGTAACACGGTAAAAAACGTGTCTCATGGTCCAGGATGCAGAGGCTGCTGTGGGGATCCCCTGCAGCCTCTGCTGGTCCACAGCGGGTCCTCCACCTCTGTTGACCCTCACAGGCTCCTGGTGTTTTGCCTTTTTCCCTTTGTGGACCTCCTAAATTGTTTTTTCCCAGGTGAGTTTAAATAACCTGAATGTGCCAGTCTGGAGCTAATGCTAGTGAGCCTGTTGAGGTCCTAAGCTGTGAAGGAGGTTTTTCTCCTGCCTGGACAAAAACAGCCTTACTTCTGCTTAGCAGCTGGTGTTAGCAGCTGGCCAGATGCCATCTGCTATCCTTTCCTCTACTGGGACTTTAGCAGCTCTGAGGAACCTTTTGCCTGATACAGAAGACATGCTCGAGTTTCTGCTGGACCCAAACTACACAGATTGGAGTGTTGTGGGCTCCCATATCCAGATCTCTGGATGGCCAAAGCATACCATTCCTAAAGAACAGGTCTATAGGCTGTCTTTTGATTAAACAAATCAAACAGCATCTTGTTGGCTGTGACGCACTGGATGGTGAGATCTGCATCCAAGTACAAGTATACAGTTATAAGCCCCAAGATAGACAAACTGGTTTCGAACTTTGATCAAATATAACTAAAAGAGCCAGTACAGTTCTGGGAAAAGAAAGTTTCTGTAGACAAATGACAGTAAGATGAACCTGAAAGCCGCAGCAGTAAAGGCCTGGCAGAGCATTAAAAGGGCAGGAAAACAATCATTTGTTCAGTTCAAGACTCTAATTCTTAATAGCAGAAAACTGTTTTCAACCAAGTATTAGAAATTGGCATTTTATTGAATTTCTCTAATTGCTTTTGAGACCCTGAAATGAAAGGATGGTGTTAAAACTTTGTGTTTGACATAATGATCATTCCGCATTCAGAGAGGGAGACTAAAACTATTCCTACTCATTTGCAAAATGTGTTTGTTTATGGGTTTAGTTGACTGAGTGTACCTCTTTGATGACGTCCCCCACATGCAGCAGCCCCTGCTGGTCTATCATGCCACCGTGGAGGATCCGAGCAATCACCAGATCTCCCCCTTCCACCTTGAACGTCACCCCCTGACACGTGGATGATATAAGTAAGCACTTTTAAGAAGAGAAACACAGAAAATCCAACCTTCTTTTGGCTTATGTGCTCCTCACCAGGTGCTCCCCGGCCACTTTGCGAATGCCCACCATGCGAATGGCATCGGGCGGCAGCTGCAGGTTGTTGGTGTGGCCGTCTTCTGGTTCATTGTCCACAAACTCACGGGGGCTGGGGGGCGGGCTGTCACACGTCTGGGAGGCCACTGAATCGTGAGTCTCCAGTAGGGACTGACACACAAAGCATCACAGAAGAAACATTTTTCTCTCTATTCAAAAAATGATGAAGAAAAGACTTTCAACTCTCAAAAACCCACATCTTTTTCACAATTTATGAGCTCTCCTCTTAAATTCAGAACAAGAGCTGATTTCCACAAAAGAAAGATGTTCTTTGGCAATGTTAAAACCTTTGAAATGATCATCTGATATCTACATTTTTATTGATATTATGCACTTAAGACCAAATGTGTTGGATTCAATGTGAGCTGGTTAAAGGTCCCTCAAACATCCGCTGTTTTCTGTTTTTTGGAAAATAAATATTTAGTATTGTAAATCACTGCATTCTCTGTGTTTTACGTTTTCACAGCACAGTGGCCTTTATGGATTAAAGGTGACCTCTGAAAACCGTGATGCCTTTAAAAGGCTGCAGCGCACCTGGAAGTGAGGCTGGGTGAGTATGCGGCTGAGCTCGGCGGCGGTGTCGGAGCGCTGGGTGAAGGGGTCCAGGTCTCTGAGGATCTCTTGCAGGAGCTCCACGTTGTTCTCCCTCACTGGCGACAGCCGGGGCTCCTCGAGGCTCTCCTCCTGCTCCTAGCACACAGCGATCAACACAAAATCAACGCCGGTCATCGGGAAACGTCGGCACTTTTAGCCTGTTTCTGCGGGATTCCTCACCAGAGGGCTCTCCATGATCCCTTTGAGGTAGATGAGGTCCAGGTCGTTGGCGATGGTGGAGCTGGTGGTGCTGTCACTCATGGCGTCCAACACCTGGGGCACTGCGACACACAAGCCAACCCAAACAGACGTGTCACAGAGGAAGGAGCATCTGTCAGCGGGACAGAAAAAGCTACCAGACGTCAGCCTCATTTAGCTACAATAGCATTACTGTCATGTCATCTTAATCCTTTTATAACCTGGGCGTCAATGGGAAGTTGTGAAGTAGAAAAGGAAAATAAAATCTATGTGGTGGTCGTGTCGGGTCTCACCAGGCTCTGTCCTGGTGGAGGCCACGGGCATGGCTGAGCTTCAGTCAATCTGAGAGACAGAGAGAGCACACAGTGTGGGAAATGACAAACAAATCGAATGTGGGTGACGTTTGGAGAAAACAGCTGCTGAAATGGGGCGCTGAGAGGATGAGTTTGTTTGCTATCCTCCACTAACCGCAAAATGCGTTTTCTTAATATAAACTCATGCAAATTCTATAAAATCTAAATTATATAAACCGCTCCAGTTGCATGTTATTACCGATACTTTATGCTCCTTTCATCAGCAAAACGGAACACAAGCAATTATAACTCATTATCTAATTGATTCTAATTAGAGCACACTCGTACTATATAGTGCATCCATAAACAAATTCGGGTTTAAAAATTCCATGAGGAAGAAGAAACAGTTAAACAAGTTAGAAACATTGGGGGTTATTCACCGGTGTGAAAGCTCTGTTTTCCTTTGTTCCTAAATCCACCTCCCACAGAAAACAGGGATTCCAATGAGCAGTAGTAAAGTCATAAAATCAAGAAACAGCGGTCTCAGAAACCCTTGAGTTCAATATGATTAATATTGCCATGAGTCGGAAGAGTTTTCCACATTTGAATCCTGGTGCCCAACTCTTAAACTTTTGAATTCTTTGTCTGATCTGTGCATAAACTTAAGCAGGATGTGGACTCTGCTGCCTTTGCGCTGTCAGGGATTCAGGGCGTCTGCTAAAGTAGCTGCTAAGAGTCTGGTGTTTCACCTCTCCGCTCACTCCAGACAAGACTTTTTTGCATTCATGCCTTTCAGTGGTTGCATAGTTCCCGCTTTTCTTTTTGCTCTAAAAAACAAACATCTAAATACACCTTCATTCGGCCCAATTTGAGTGCTGGTTTGAAAAGTCTAGGAGCCGGAAAGCAGCCGTCCAAAGACAATGTCCAAAAGGCATTTCAAACACTGGGAATATTTTGTTGGGAATGGATTCTCCTACCACACTCCTCCTCCTTTTTCTCCTTTTCCTGGCCATGACACAGCAATACATAAGTAAAGACAGAGTAGACAGAGAAAGAGCAGGAATAAGGAGGGTGGAGGGGGGTTTGTGGTTCTACCTGATCTATACATTGCCATGACAACACAAACAATACAATAACAATTTGGAAAAGAGGCACATCTCCATATCTATCTATCTATCTATCTATCTATCTATCTATCTATCTATCTAT